TTTGTTATCTTGTTTGTGTTCGAAATGAGAATGTATTTTTTTATGTTTTATTTTTTTCTCGCCGATTTCAAAATTCGGAATTTTATGTAATTTAAACTTTTTTTATTTATGCAGTCTCGTTTTATTTTATGTTTCTGATTATGGTTAATTTGAATTCGTCTTTTTTTAAGTGCATTAATAAATTAAATATGTCTACAAAACTGGCTCTTTATTACACATCGATAGAAACGAATAGATAAATAACGTTCGGGTAGCACTCTAGCGTTGACACCGATAACCTCTCTAATTCATTTAGTTAAATAAATTATGAAACAGTGATTGCATACATTCCGATTGATTCGGGCCATTGGACACACTTAATGCATGTCACACTCTGCCTTGTATGTAATTATGTAAATCCTTGAATAAATTGTATCAAGAACAGCTATAATTAGTATATGTAATGAGCATTTATAATATAATTTTTTTTTTATGGAAGTGTTCAATGACAGTCAGATGCTCCAGTATCAACACAAATACTTTTTACCAAGAGTATAAGTTTTTGTATAAAGATAGAAACTCCTTACATTCACTTGAATTATGATTTAACTTTTATCTTTTTGTCGGAGACTCGTTAGTCTAATAAGTTCCCCGAAGCATGAGGTTAACGGGATGTGTCGCCCGCCCGCCGTCACACAAGACACAAATGACATTTGATCTTAGCAACAAAATATTTCTCGCTTATTAAAGTAAAGAAATTGGCAAAGCGTCAGGTGTTCCTGCGGAATCGGAGCCTATTACACGTAATGACGATGAGTATACATTTTAGAGGAAAGCTCCTGTTAGTGTAGGCGAGCCAATTAGAAGTGTTAGGAGCCGCCCGCGCCCCTCGGCTGTCCAATTAAACTCACTCTCGCCGCTCGCGCTGACGACGGCGCACCCGCCGCCGCCGGAACCGAGTACCACCTCGTAATTGCGTAAGCCACTTCAAAAACAAACCTCCGCTTTTTTGCACCGACGCTAACAATGGAATCATGTCAGACACCACAAGAACACCCCTCCATTCTATTCTTCGACTGTGTAACTATTGAGTTGTTAATTAAATTCGCACAACATAATGGCCACTCGCAATCCGACACGCGCAAGTCGCTATTACGCCCGCATAGGGGCGATTTCCGCGCAACCCGCGCTTAGCGATCCGTACTGATGCAGCTTCTTGTTTAATTACAACAATAGTGGCCCCTAATGAGAGTTTGCGCTAATAAGCACTGCAGAATGTAATCAACATGCTTCGCCGGTCTAATGAGTCGAGTTCCTGGCAAAAACAAGCACCGTCGACATTTTACTGAAGATTAATTAGGCGTTGTACCTATACGGCAAGATAGCTCAGTCGGCCCGGAAGGCCCTTGTTTCTAACATGTTGCGCTGCTTATGTGTTTTTCCTGGAAAGTTTGACATAAAGAGGCAGTAGCATCGTATTATCTGCCCGTGGCCCGCTTCACGAATCAAAGTGTTGTTAGTTCAGCGTGTAACATGCACACTGCGAGAGTCTTTGAATAATTGCTATTGACAACAAAGTACACATCCCTGGTAAACGTCGTTAACTTAAATAAGTACGTTTGATTACGCCGTAGCTAGCTACCCCATTAAAACTTAACGAGGGGCAACCCCGGGGAAAATAACTAACCCAATTTCCCTTTGCCGGGAAATCATTAAAAGTCTTAAAAGGGTCTTTTCATATATTTTTTACCCTGAAGCGTACGTGCAAATAAACACATTTTTACATACTCGAACAAACAATTCTCCTAACGAGGCGGGAGCGTAACGAGCGCGCGGCGGGCGCGGGGCGGTGACCAGCGGGCCAGCAGCGCCCGCACCGCACTAATTGGAAGGATACGTCCGGAAATGTGTCTCGTTACATGCGGCGCCTACCTGCGTCCACGGCCACGGCGACTGCCTCACCTAACGACACCCCTGATTTATATGAGCCAATACATTCAAATTGACAGCCGAAACTCGGACGAACCCGACAACCATGAAGCACCGCCACCGACCGCTCCTTAATGCCGGCACCACGCGCCGCCCGCGCCGCTATCCGTGCGAAAATGTCACCGGGAACAATGAGGTAGGTAAAGTCACATGCCATAAGGAGCGATAAGTCGTTAAGATTTCTCTACTAAAAACAAGTTGCACTAATTTGAAAGACATTTAAATGTTACGACCAGTTTGTGTCGTACGCTAATTGTTGTGACATTTTGTGCCTTATGTCGGATGTCGGGGACACCACACACACTAGTTTTTGCGCAAATAGTCAACCCAAAGATAAATGCTACTGTACTGTTTCTACCGTATAAACTTGTTTCAACAAAAAATAATCTGTGTACCATTACCGTCCATGTGTGGCAATTAATATCAATTGAACGCGTAATGCCATCAGTTCATTTAACATTCTCAGGGATTTCGTGATGCACTAATAGGTAATTTAATTAATAGATTTCCCAATTAGTGTTCGCTGTATAATTAATGGATGTGTGCTGTATTAGCGTCGGATACAATCAGATTCGAGACTCGTCGGCAATTACGGACGACTACAAAATACGTCGAATTCCGCGTAATTGCTGAGAATATTACGGCAGTGAACTTAATTGTTCTCGACTTAATTAATTAAGCTTTTGTTTGAAACTAACAGCAAAGTGTAGACTTGGCAATTCTAAATTGGATCTTGTAATTACCTTACCCTCCCTTTTACTGAAACTGTATACCTACTTTCAATTATGGGCCAAGCTTTGTTAATGAAATCAATTATAATTGGGACACAATGAAATGAATTGTATTTGAGCCGTAGGAACAATCGATTTTATTAACTAATTTACTCTGTTCTCAAACAAACAATAACGGAATGAAATAAGAATGTACTGTGAGGGTGGAACATAATGATAAACAAACGAATATCGTCGGGTGTTCATTTCATCTGCGTCGGTTGAGTAGATATTGCTGTCTTCATTATGGAGAGATTGCCATTACGTAGGCCGTCAGCGAATCATTACGGATGCCTCTAATGAGTATCTCTTGTACGCCTAATAATAATCCTTATCGACATTTCCAAGGCTGCTCCGGCCCGGAGGCGGTTTGTGAACTAATTAATTGCGTTACTATACACGCCGAGTTTCAGTACGATTTCAATGGGAATAAAACAATGCACTTATGTAAATTACAATCCGTAAGTAGGTTTAATTAAATGTTAATTTGCGTACTGTTGTAACCGAAATTGAATATAATGCCACTGAACATTTTCAGTGGTAATTAAGCGAGTGATTTCGAAAATACTACGGTGGTATTGCATTTGTAGGGTGTCTGTTCTGGGATTAATAAATGTTTCATTTGGAAACTCTTTCGGGGGAAAAACTATATATTATTTATCATAATAAAGTTTATAAAGTAAGTTTTACTTCGTATGGAAATAAGATTATTCTCATTGTCCTTTTCAAAGCATCATTTAAATATTTAACACAAGCAATTTAAGTAGTGTCAAATATAGAAAAAGCTTTTAGTCTAGTGCAAATAAATAAAACTAAATCCTATATTTATGACTAATATATTTGCAACACAAATAGAGACTACACTGCCTAATGCCTAATGCATATTAATATACAATTAAGATATGATCGTGATGTTTTAATAAATTATAAACAAATATATTCTTAAGGAAACTATTTATATACATAAACAGGTATCTACTTATTTTATATTAAATTAGAATAGTAGTATTAAATGCAGTCTATCTCCGGTCAAGATAATTAATGGGTTAACATTTATATCTTGTTAAGTAACTTATCTATTAAATTAGGTTACCACTTTACATATTTATGATGTTACACGATTTAAATAAGAGATAATAGCTGAGATAACATTAAGTAGTAATGACCTCTGCATCTTGAATGTTGTGCATTAACGATGGACTATGTGCGCTATCGCTTATCAAAGAAGGTTCATTATTTATTGGATGGAGATAATACTTGGTCTAAGGAATTGGTGTGGAAATATGTGAGTTACATTGTGTCATCTTAGTCGCGAAAGGGGTGGGCGAGGGTAGCCGGCTCTGGCAACTTTAATTAAGACACAATAATTAAAATAACAAGCGGCGGGCGTGGTGGCGCATCAGTATGCGAGTTGTTGGGGCCTGGCGTCCCGGCTGTGGGCTCGTGGGGCCGCATACAACACGACACTAATCCACCGGACACATACTCTGCTGGAAGCTATTGTGTGCCCCTCCGACGCCGGCTTAACGCTTCAATCTTGTTGCAATCATATTGGTACAGTTCAGAGCTAAGGTCACGTAACGTCGGTGAAAACAAATCGTCGGCTTACACTGTTTATTTATGTAAGAAAGCTTTACAATGGCAAACGCCTACTAAACTCTTATTAGCATACTATAATGTAGAAATGCATCGAAACATTGTTTCAAGATAATTGTTTGACAACAAAAACAGCGGAATCACAGCTACTTATGTTTTTATAAGTGTCAGTCTATTCAATTGACTGTTAGCGATTTTCCTTAAGCACTGCGTTTAAACCAAACCGCAATTAAGTAATTATCCGTAACTTCGGATCTCTCAATTAATGTGAATGGACACGCACCACGCACTCGTGCCCGAAATATCACAACAATCACAACGTGTGATAACGTTAACGCACACACGTAAACACAAACTTGAATGAATTAACTTTCTCGTTTCAAATCGCTCTCTAGCTAATTGGTCGCTGAATTAGATAATAACTGTCAAGATTATTATGAGTAATTTATATAGTCTGCGAAACTAATTAATTATGTTTATGATTTTAATGAATATTTATATCTGAAGGCTCTATCTCGAAAATTAATTGGGCAACCATGAAAGAAACAACATAATTAACTAACACAAAAACTATAAAAATACAATTAAATTTTATAACTGCTATACGAAGCAACAGAAAATAAAGCGGTAGAAAGCATCATAATGAAACTGTATCTGTTTACTCACCTTTAGATTGTTTTTTCCAGTAAAAACAACAAACAAAACATGTAATCTCCAATAACTCCGGCAGGAACCACGACAAACAGATCCACAGTCAAATACAGATCACCAATATAATTTATACAATACTTGTCCACTCCAACAACAATATTGTCACTTCAGAAAAATACAGAAAATTTGATTTTGTTATTGTCCAAAAGCACAAATCGCCGGTAAAGCGGTCGGACGAGAGATATTATAGTGAGAATAACGACTGTCTATTAAAATGATTTATTAAAATTGTAATTAAGCGACAATGAAGGCTTGTGTCGCTATGTTACAGAGACGAGAGCTCGTGTAAAGTTTGGGAGCGCGCGAGGGCAGCGGGCTCGTGGTGCGTCGAGGAGGACTCGCGACGAAGTGAGGCGAGTCAGAGAGTGCGAGCGTGTGGCGGCCGGCACTCCGGCAGGCTGTGCGCGCCGCGGCCCTCCCGGCCCGGGGTGGAATGGAACAACACTCTAATATAATGACAGCCTCGGAACACTTTAATACTCTAATTGAAAAAGTATACTCCGACAGCTTTTAAGTGTAATTAAGGTTACGCTTCCATATTGCGACTTTACCGACTAGAAAATGCTGATTCTACATCGATCCTCTTTGTTTATTTAGATACTGTATCGTGAATGAAATTGATTTTATTGATAAGTTAATAGTTAAGATTTTCTTATGAAAAGGGGTTTCATGTTTCCACCCACTTGAATGTTCGTTACTATCGTCTTAAAAGGTTTAATAATAAAAAATCGTGAAAATTAACAAACAGACATAACGGATTACTTTCCTCACACTTAGGTAGAAGAAAAGTAGAAACACTAGATCACCTTAAGTAAATTTCAATTAAATTTAGGAAATACCTCCTAATATCAGTCCACACACAAATTAAGTAATGCAAGGTGTTGTGTACATAATAGCGCACCCTGATATCATATAAATGTAGTAAGGAATCGATACCTAATAAATGTAATCGGCAAGTGCGTCACGTCCCAGCACAGCTACATAGGTAAGAAATATCACAAACACAACCTCGCTAGTGAATTCCGGCCTAAATTCAATTCCACCCCTTTTCTCCTCGCCCGTTCGACTTGGAAACCAATCTTCTTTACATTCCCTCGCCGACAAATTTATACACCTCCATACATCGCGGGTAATGGGTGGCGGCGGCTGAGCGGCGGCGGCGCCGGCGACGCTGCTGGGCTCCCTGTACATTATTAAGCAGCCGCTAGCCGGAGGTGACCCGCAAAGAAACGGCAAGTGTATGTCCAGCGACCGCACCGTCGCTGAGAATTTAATTTCCACGGCCCGCCCGCCCTCGTCGCCATTGTCCGCCCAGTATTTCATTACGGCTCGAGCTTTTCTATTAATAAATCACTCTTCGCCTCCGCCGTTTAATTACGTCCCGGATCCGGCCAACGTCTGATTACACTTTCATCGAACATCTAATTAGGAGTGCAGTCGAGCCGTGCCGAGGCGGGAACGTGTGTATTCTTTGTTCCGCAGATATTACACTCGGCCTATATTACACCGCGAAGCACTGCCTCCCCAGCTAAGTTCGAAATGAACGAACTTTGATTAAAATCGACCGCTTGCACTGCCGCTAAAGTATCAATTTAAATGTAGGTAATGTCTTAACATTCCGTCGTGTGTGGTGCACCCAGCCGTGTTGTGTCGATACAGCCTCGTGTTTTATATTGAGTTAAAAGTCAATAAAGTTTTATAAGAAGCTGATATTGGCTCTATCCTATCTCGCAGAAATCAGACATTATTAAAATCTGGATATATTAAAAAGTGTATATACTAGCGGATATACTTCTTACACAACGTACGGGGTGTCTCGGTGAAATGAACAACTTAACCAATTTATGTCGAACAGGTTGGAGCGGACCCAGGGAAATGCGTAAATGAATAAACATAATTGTCAAGGAAAACCCCATGTGTAGTTGGAGGTATGTTATTCTTATGAGAGAAAACATCGAAGTGGCAAATATGACGTCGGCGGCTCAAGAGTTTTTTTAATTTCGTCGGGCAGGCGCGGGTGCGGGCGCGGCGGCCGGCGCGAGCTGCCCGCCCGTTTAACTTATTGCCACGGTTAACGAGAATACGCCGTTGTGTGCCGGCGAAATTGAAGGATTTACTCCGCGTCCCTCCTTTATTAAACGTATTGCACACTCGCCCAGTGGCCGTGTGTGCGTGCGACTCTACACGCAGTATGCCGAAATTACATTTCACATGAGTCGTAATAACAAGGGCGGGCGTAAATCACTAGCATTATTAGTTTCTCTTGTTACTCGTGCCATTTGTCACTTTATATTGATGCGAGAATACCGTTTTCGAAAAAGTTCATAAAACATTAAAGCTTCTCTTCGATAACTGTAAATCAATAGCGATAATATTCTCACTTGAACTGGGATAATCGATCACTGTAAGTGATCGCGAGCGAGCCAGTGGGAGGACGTGGGCGGCGGATCTACAAAGCCACTTAAATGTATGTTAATACATAAAAGGTTATTAGAATCACAAATAAGGTATGAGCAAAACAAGAATTGATCTGGAAGCAAACAATAGGTTAGAGAGCGCTGCCGGTTGCCGACTGGCGGGCGGCCGGCGGTCGTGCGCAAGATACTATATCGCCGGACTTCCTGTAAGCTGAACGTATCGCATCGCTTAAAGTTTCGCAATATACGCGCACGGAGCCCGTCCTTTATTAAAAACTATTCTCACATTTTTAATTAAAACTTGTGTTCCCCCACTAAAACTTTATTTAAGCAATAAAGGCGGCGCAATTAGCGGCGCTGTCCCCGCCGCCCGCCGGCGACTTCACCTACTTTTCCTTTGCTTTAATGAGTGTTTTTTAATAAAGCTGGAGACTGGTGCAAGTTTATTAATTTAGTTTAACTCGTGTCACGGCACCGGCCCACGGCACGCCCGCCCTCTGGCCCTCATGATAAGTATAACCGTACTTTTTAATTTAACGCTCAATTCACACCATAACACAACTTCTAATACGCTTCAATTAGTTAAATTTGCTCAATAGAGCATAGTCATATTTATACATTATCCCATATGCAGCCTTAATAGAAATACGTAGATACATTACATAGTGCTACGAGGTTTTGGTTCAGTTGAAACATCCAATTTAGTAAGGACAGTTGAGTGCACATGATGGACAACATCGTGTCAGCCAGACACTGTCTGCTACTGGAAACTTCACGTCACTTCATTTCACTACATGATGCTTTGGCATCTGGTCTTCACATACAACCACCTTGCACTGCTAGAATAAGCTCATCTCTTTCTTCTTCACATCAAATAACATCATACTTCGCTTTACTCAAGACTTAGGCAATACTAAAAGATTTAAGTAGAAGTATACTTTTGATAACAAATCATTAAGTTTTGCTTAAGTGGAAGCAAGTGATAGTTTCTTCCTCTTTTTCTACCACTTAGTTATACTGAGATTATTTTATTGCAATTTATTAGATTGATATGAATAGATAGTGTTTTGTTATTAAAAATGTTGTATGAAAAAATTGTGACGTTTCCGAAAAGCAACATTAGGAATGTAAAGTAAGGATCGTTGTCGAGCAACAAACTAAAAGCTTGAATGACGTGGAGCCCTCACTGCAACCCCCTCTTCCCGGCAAGTGTTCCGACCATAATTACATTCCCGTGTCTAACAAATGGAGAATCGGTGTTGATTTGTGTTTAGCCGAGCACGCGTCCGTGATCCGCACGGCCCACGCCCCGTCGCCGTCCCGCGGCCGCCACGCCACCGCGCCGCTTACTCAGCGTGCCCAATGCCCACGTGTGACCATACCACCACTCGGCGCCTTGTCAAATTAACGTCAGCCTCGCCAAGTTTTCTTCAACTTAACACCGGTTAATGCCGCGTGTAATAGAAAACTGCTTTTGACGAGTGACGTTGAAATTGGAAAATTTATTATCATAACCGAGTTCCATTTGCTACAGAACAAAGTTCATTTTATAATTACCTGCCATTATCAATTGTTGACATTATCTACCGAAGTTATCGTAATATTTAATTAACAAAATGTTATTACTGACAGAGTTTATTTAGAATGTGTTTCGTTTCGTGCGACGCGAGTAATTGCGCGCACATCAACTAAGTGAAAAACGAAGCTCGCCATCCAGCCTAAAAGCTTCGCGGTAGATTGCATCGGCACACGGATTTTCCATTACGGGCTAGTTCTTTATTACGAGCCTCGAGAACCAAGTTAAGGTCGATGCTTTAACAGGCTATTTTAATTAAATAGAGCCCGTAAAGTTTACCCATTAAGTAGTACGTACCCAGTCAACAGAATATTATGGGTGTATCGCAGTCGTTGCTTGTGCCTGTGACCCATGGCAAGCAGCAGATTTTAATGTACGATGTTCGAAGCACATAATGGTGGAGCACCGGCTAGTGGCGTTTCGCAGTCAGAAGTGGGTCGTTTGTGCAATGGTGCGCACGAGGCAGGCGAGGAGTCGTTAGGGCGGCCGTATATCCTCGGATAACCGCGAATATTGGCCGCACTAACAATGTGCGTCTTTATAAGTTTTTAACGAGCTCGGACGATATAAATTATGTGTGGTGCGGGCAGTGGGTCTCGTTATCTCGCTAACGGCGCACTAGCGGAAGCTTAATGTACCGAGAGCTTTATTGTAGCCACTTACGGGCAGCGCACTGCAACTCCAACTAGTTGTACAACACTATTGTCGTCTCGTTATAACTATTACTTTTTGTATTAAATGTTACAATACAGAAATAGTCTTCAAATCAAACGTTTGTAAGTGATCTTAGTAGGTCTAAGATCAAAGGATCGATATGATACAGTACGGGTTGAATTATATACACTTTTTATTTAAAATATATGGCAAGGAAGTTATTATGATTAAATAATAGAGTCTGTTTAGCACTTCTGGTATCTATTTTTATAATCGTAACATTGTATCAATTACCTAAGGAAGGAGTTTACATTTAAAAATAGTACAATATATTTATTTACTACTTACAGTTTTCACCGAATTTGCGAATAAGTTACGTAAGGACATAAGTATTATAAATATTATAATTAAACAAATCTAATTATAGTAAGCAAATTTCGAAATCAACAATTCACTCACACTGTAATACGGAAACCATTAAGGGTGGTTGAAAGTTAATAAGTAATAGGTACAGTAATTGCATGCCAGGGCTGGACTTGGGCCCCAACCAGCCTCATTTTATTACAACGAAAAATTTAATAAACAACAAATGGGCTCCTTTTTCTTTGTCATGATAATTAACCTCTTTTGCAGTTTACCGCCTGCCACGTATTTGAGATAGTTGTATGTCAACATATTGAACATTATTCACATTGTGAACATTACTAAAAGTTTTTA